GATGGAGAGCAGAATTCATTGAACACGTAAACGGAAAAATCAGGAATGCCTTCTTTAAACTCAAGACTCTTTATAAAATAAGACCATTTCTAAAAGAAGAGCTGCGCTTAATGCTCACTGACTTACTCGTGCTCTCCCCTTTTAACTATTGCGGCTCAGTAATCGGTCCCAAACTAAATTTCAGCACTGAAAAAGATATTCAAAGGGTACAAAACGCTTGCATATGGTTTTGTTTTGATGTACCTCGAAGGGAGCATATAACCCCATACCTAAACAGTAAAGGGATACTAAATATGAAGGCTCGTAGGGAACTGCAGTTTGCCTGCATGGTCCACAGGACAATATGGAACAAAAAGCCTGAATATCTGTACGAAAAACTTCACTGGGTAAAAGACAGTGCACTAAGAAGTCTTCAAACAGCTATTCAAAATAGATTAAAAATACCTCAACATCTCTTTTCGATTTCGTGGCTCGTGGCTGCTGCTCAGAGGCGGGGCAAGACCTAAATTTGATGTGGGCAAGACAGATTTCGCGAGGTCTTGTTCTGTGGCGACCTGAAGACGGATTTTATGAAATAATAAAAAAAAGGGTCAAAGGTCTATACATTGACAGTTTCTGATTTCTTGATTCAGTGATTATTTTTAAAGGAATATTGCGCCAAAGAATAATGTTCGTCACTTAAAACCGTGTTGTTGCTTAATTTTGTGTCTGATTATGGCTGAATTTGTTTGGAAAAAAATATATTTTTACTTTTAACTACATTGTTTAGCTATCAAGAATTTATATTTAACAGTCAATGTTCGTATTGTGATATTGTCATCTCCACCTTGTATACATTTTTTCAAAATGTTTGATGCGCGCGCGAGGCCCCTTGTACCGCGAGGCCGTAGGCGGTGGCCCACGTCGCCTACGCCTTACGCCGCCTCTGCTGCTGCTAATATATGGAATGACTTACCGCCGCCTATGAAAGTAAAAATGAGTATCTATTGCTACCTTTAAAATGAAATACAAAGTGGCTCTAAAAGAAAGACAATTGGCAGCAGAGAGCTTAATTAGTGGATATTCCAAATTATTGCCCCTTAAGGATTTTTTAAATAGTCTACACACTGTACACACACACACACAAACACACACACACACCCACCACAGTACTCGTAGAAATTTCATTAGCTAGATTTTATTTATCGTCTTGCCTTGTCGCTAGTTGTTTTATTGTCGCTTGTTTAATTCACAAGGAGGAAGCTCTTAGCCTGCTTCTCACCTGATGGAAAGTGATGATCAGGCCGAAGGTAGAAACCAGGGATGTTGCGAATATCCGCATCCGCAAATGCGGAGCATCCGCATGGATTTGGACATCCGCATCCGCAATGAACAAATGCGGATTTTTATGCGGATGCGGATGTAAGACAAGTTACCACAAGAAAGAAATTGGGCACGGTCGAAGAATGGCGCGTGCTGTTCGCATTGATATTAACCAATGTAAACGAAAAAAATTGGTGACAAGATCCAACGGTTTGTTATAAACTATCATTTGTTTCTTATAAATAAATCATTTAACGTGTTTGCGCCAGTGCCGGATTAAAACTACTTGATGCCCTAAGCGATCCACACCACACCCTAGAAACGAGCAATCCTTCCTCAACCCCAGAGAAACCTCTACTTGTCGGGCAACTGTTAACATTGTTGTTATAACGGCAGACTTACTTAGGTGACAGAAAAATCTGCCCCCACATGGGAACGGTCGGTATCGAACCCGGGACCTCTGAAGCAGGTGGTCTTACTACTAGAGGCGGTTAACACAGAGGAGGCGAACCATTATAAACAAACGAACACACAATTAAAATTGAATCAATGCAGTTATGTGTCAAAATCTAGAGCCACAAAACACTTTGAGTGACTGCTATGTAAATTGAAAGCCTTTGAGGACCGCTGCCTTCACAACCCCGTTCAAACAGTAATATGAGACTAAAATACGCTGAGATGGAAGTCATGTTAGTAAACAATGCTATGAGCGTATGACACATCAGAACGATTTCTTTTAATGCTAATATTAATGCGATAGTAACTGTCTGTCTGTCTGTCTCAAGTAACCTTAATTTCGAACTCCTCCTATGTTCTTCTGATTAATTTCGTTGCGGGTCCAATGGCAGTTTAACTTTCCCCCGGGACAAACTTGACCTTCATTGGTTGGCTTTTTATGGCGGTCAAGCTGTAGATCCTGGCTACACAGGAGTTGCAGTGGTGGGAACGAGAGGTGGGAATAGTCCCGTGTCTGTCTCAAGCATAAATCACTGTAGGTACTTAGGTACTTAAATGAAATTCACGCCCGTTCGCAACATTATGAGAGGTCTCACAGTGCGCGTGGACGCACAGGGTAACACACGAACCAATCACAGAGCTCCATTCAACCACGATAGCCGAACGGTGAAGAAAGTCGGACTTGCCAACTCGAGATCCGAGGAACGCGGGTTCGAATCCCGCCGCCGCTCGACTATTGTGGTGAGGCGAGGGGCTAACGGGACTATTAGTAATTTGTGCAATACAAATTGCTAATAACTTAAAAAAAATAAATGAAATTCAGTTATTAGGGCCTTTTCCCATCCGGATCCTGCAAAACTGTCGTGTGAACACAAGTTTGTGTCAAATTCAAATTCGAACGGATCACTGCAAACGGGATACTTTTTTGAGGGACACTGCAAACGGAATGTGCGTGTGAATGTAATAAAATAAAACACATTGCAAAAAACAGTTCCTGCAAACAACATGATGTCTCCTTGTCTCCAGAAGTTTTTATTCAGTACCTAAATTACTTAAAAGCCCTTTCTAAGGCGCTTATACACGTCCCAAATATAGCTTGCCCTACCACCACTTCGGGACAAAATATGTTAGTTTTTATCCCTATTTTTCAAAGGGGAACAGCGTGAGATTTTTTCTGTGGCAGACCGAAATTTACGCGGGCAAAACCATGGGCAATACCTAGTTTAGGTTAATTTAAAAAGTTTAACATCATCATATTTAACCCAAAGCTACTTTGTTGCTATTTTGAACTTATTATCAATATTCCATCGCGCGACCGAAGTTTTTCTATATAAATGTAAAGCGATCGGACAGGGGACGTGCTATGACTATGGTATTGACTAGGTACCACCTCTTTAGATTGATTGAGGTGGGTCCTCAGGCACATAAAAATTTCATAAATATCATTTAATTTTGTAAGTAGGCTTTTAAAAAGCTCTTTTACACGTCCTATTTTAATCCTACCACTGCTTCGGGACAATAAATGGGCCAGTGCTGAAAAGAAGCAGCGCAAGAAACTCAGTCACTATTGTCGGTCTCCTTTTCTAGGGTTTACAGGTAGTAGACAGTTAAACTCTCTTTGCGACATCATTTCAGCCATAGGACGTCCACTGACGAACTAGGCCTCCCCCAATGATTTCTAGGTTGGTAGCGGCCTGCATCCAGCGCCTTTCTACCTTTATGATGTTGTCGGTCCACCTTCCTGGGTGGACGTCCCACGCTGCGTGTTCCGGTACGCGGCCTCCACTCCAGAACCTTGCTGCCCCATCGGCTGTAAGTTCTGCGTACTATGTGCCCTACCCATTGCCACTTCAGCTTGCTAATCTGTCCTGTCTTTGCGTACCTACTACCTAAGTAATAAACTGATCAATAGATAGATCATAGAGGTTTCTTTTTTTAGATAACGGGGACAGTTCTTTAGATGGATATTAAAAGATAAATCATATTAAAATGTTTCAATATAAATCACCATACCACCGCCCGGGCTCATACTTTAAGGACTGATATAGCCCGACGGATTAGCAAGCTGCAGAAGTGGCAATGGGCAGGGCACATAGTGCGCAGAACTGACGGCCGATGGGGCAGCAAGGTTCTGGAATGGAGCTATGTTACCGGCAAGTGCAGTGTGTGACACCCACCCACAAGGTGGACCGACGACCAACCACATAGAGGTAGCAAGAAGGCGCTGGATGAAGGCCACTACCAACCGGGCGATGTGGAAATCATTGGGGGAGGCCTATGTTCAGCAGTGGACGTCCTGTGGCTGAAATGATGATGAAGATAAACGAATTAATGAAAACAAAGATCCGCTCCTAAAGGGGACCTACCCCAGAAAGTTGATTTTAATTGAATTTCAAAAATATTTTGCTTATTATAGCTAGCTCTACCCACCCATCAACAAGACCTAGTACTACCTACCTGTAAATCGATTTTTTTACTGTCACCCAAAAGGGGACACTTGCCAGCATCTCACCTGATGGAAAGTGATGATCAGGTCAGGTGGAAGCGAGCTTCACTCGGAATCCTCGACTACAGAGGAACTGGCTATCTTACCACCAACTGTCAATACACAATATGGCGACAGATTTAGATAAAATGGTGGGAGCTAGCCAGGCAGACTTAGAACTAGTCTCACCACCAACCAAACAGAACAGAGATCCTACTGAGAATCGAACCCGGGACCTCTGGTATAGTCATCCGGTACGCGACCTACTACTTAGTCACGACTTAGTGGTTGACAAAAAGCGTATTTTGCAATGATATTTGGTATTATGTAAGTTTATTATGCATACTAAGGCAGGTACCAAAGTATTTGACCGCAATTGCACCTGGTGTTAAGTGAGATGCAGTCTAGGATGGTACATATCTGCCCTGTAAGTGCCTATTCACTCTCGCTTTGAAAAGGCCCGGATTTTCTATGTTAGTTAATCAGTAGGTTAACTGAAATTAAACAAAATTCTAACTTGTGACATTTCGTGAATAAAAGAAATCATCTGTATTACGGGTTCCCTGAAACTACAAATGTGCATATTATTCAAAAGCTAGCACAGATTTTTCGAAAATCACAAAAAGATGTAAGCAAAATGCTACAAGTGTCTTTCCACCCCTTGAGATCACCCACGCATATAAAGTAAGCAAACTCCACCCGATATAAAAAGGGGTACACCGTGGAGATCCACCATTCAGTCAGCAGCTGCTCATCCGCCATCTTGTGACTTTTGGCGGGAACAGTTGACGTTTTACTTTTTAAAGATGTTGAAGATAGCAGCTATTGTTTCACTGATGCTGATTGGTAAGTTTTAAAATTAAATTATTTTAAAAAGAAGATGGGAAATGTATTTTTAATAAATTATCACAAACTAATTGTAAGAATTCTACGAATTGAAGTTACAATAAGTACACTCCATTACAATTTTATTCTCATCTTTTTATGGGTAGAAACATAAATTATTATGAACCTACTTTTTCATAAACTTACTATATTTAAAAAAAATCAAAACTTAGTAATTTGGAAGATGAACATCGGTCTTTGCCATACGTAGGCACGTAATTACAGAATTTTAATGTAGTTTATAGAATTTAATGTAGTTTTTATTAAAAACTTACTGCCTTTTGTTAGCGACATGGTCCCAGGCGGACTCTAGGAAACACAAAAAGGATGCTACGGCCCCGGAAGACTTTGAGCCATCAGGTAACACTAAACTTGACGACCAAACATAGTCCTCTTTTCAATTTGAGCCAGTAAAATTGACCTTTCACTAAGTAATAGGCACACCAGATTTAATTTTGTACACTTAAGTCCAATAATTAATAAATGAAAACCATTAAAAGATCGACCATGCTTTCTTCAACTACCCTCCAAGGAGTTTCAGAGTGACCCTCTTTTTACAAGCTTTTTATTACTTTCATTTAAATTTGAGCCTGACGTGTGACCCAGTTTTTATTTGTGGTGTGTGATCCATAGACAACCCACGAATCGTTATTATAATCATGTTGAATATTCTCTGAATATTATTTCAATCGTCTACATGTTGCTGAATAACGAGGAAAAAACGCCAAAAAATCGCGACTCGCGATTGTTGTATGGGAGGCGACTTTAAATAGTTTATTTCGTTTTTAGTATTTATAGACATCTGTGAAAATTTTATGAGATGTCCAACCTGGTGACAACTTATTAGGGTTCCGTTTTTACCCTTTGTGTACGGAATCCTTAGGATTCGCAAGTAGCGTGGCCGCGTGGGTTGCCTTAAAAAAGGACTATGATGGACGTTTACTTTAGTGAAAAAGTTAAGTTTGTGTATCCTTCTCAGAGTTCAAATTAAATAAAGTTGTTTAAATGTTAGTGATGTTGAATCGTTAGTTGCAACTTTTTGTGTTTATTTATTTTAGATTTCGTCTAAATCTATCATGTTCTTGTCTCTTCCGACTTCCTTTTTTTGTTTCCTATGTCAATGTCTTTCTCTCTAAGGCGTTCTTAGCATGGTAGGTATCTGTTATTAGGCAATAGATTGTGTGTTAGTAAATTAGTTACCTAGTTAAAATTGTACTTGATTAATTTAGGTAAAGAATGGGGGGAATCTGTATGTGTGGCATGGTCTAGAATCTAAACTACACTCGGCATCAAATAAATCGCACTTCCCGCAACAAGCACTTCTCAAAAGTATGCATCCCCACTTCCCACCAACATTGGTTGCATTTGAAAGCTTACTTAGTTCTAACCTTCACTTCATTAAAGGAAAGGTTTTTATCCCAAAAATGTGTTTTTAGAAGGATCCAGCGTCACTTCTTCAAAAAATAGGTAGTTACGCTTGAGCCAACTTTTATGGCTTTAAAACTGGTAAATTGGGATTAATCACTATCCATCTGTTAAAAAGGACAAGATCATTATTTGGTTCTATAACCACAAAAACTGGTCTAATTGATCCCAGAGGTGAGCCCCAAGTGAGGCCTTTTTTCAAATCACATTTATGGTACCTATTAATTGTTTATAAAAAAATTAAATGTGTTTTTCTTTAAGTTTATTTATTGGGCTTACAAATAATACCAATATTGTTGGGGCACCATGATTGTTTCAGAAGAAAATCTTTAAAGTTCGCGTCGCGGAAGGTGCGATTTATTTGATGTTGAGTATGATCGTTTTATCATCTCCTACCTATTTTGTATTATGTAACAATTACTTACAGTTCTAATATCATTAGTTTAAGGATTTATCAATTGCTATCAATCCATAGTTGACCCACACTTGCATAAGACCAGATAAAACCCCTATAAAGTTTCTTTTTGTGACTTCGAGACGCATTAAACCTTTTCAAAAGAGATTGATAATAGTGACTGAGTTTCTTGCGCTGCTTCTTCTCAGCACAGGCCCATTTATTGTCCCGAAGAAGTGGTAGGGTTTAATACTGGGACGTGTAAAAGTGCTTTTTAAAAGCCTATTTGCATAAATAAATGCGTTTTATGAGCTTTTTTATCCCTTCCAGGCAGCACCCTGTGGGCTGCTGGCATATCCTGCGACTCCTGCGGGAGTGAGTGCGCGTCAGCATGCGGCACCAGGCACTTCAGGTCGTGCTGCTTCAACTACCTGAGGAAGAAACGCGGCCCTGAAGGCGTTAAGGTGAGCAGTGGCGGCGTAGCATAAGTTGGCACCCGGGGCGGCACCCCCCCCCCCCGTCATAATATAAATTATAGCCTGAGGCACCCCAGAATGGCACCCCCCCTGNATTATAGCCTGAGGCACCCCAGAATGGCACCCCCCCTGTCATGACATCACGACCGTCCTTGCCATGCAGATGCGTCAGTGAGTACTAATCTGCGCGACTTTGTCACCCCCTGATGCTTGGCACCCGGGGCGGACCGCCCCCACCGCCCCCCCCCCCCCCCCCTACGCCGCTACTGAAGGTGAGAGTTAGTCGAATCATCCAGTTTGTTTTGTGATACGGTCGTGTAAGCAGGTTTAAAGTACCTATTAGGTACGCGCAGAAGAAGACGGGACTATTCCCACCTCTCGTTCTTACCGCTGCAACTCCTGTGTAGCCACCTTGACCGCCATTAAAAGCCAACCAGTGAAGGCCAAGTTTGTCCCGGGAAAAGCTAAACTGTCGTTGAACAGAACAAGAGGTAACGTACTGATAGTGTGAGATTGTTGAGTTTTGAACATATTTTTTGTCACCATCATCAGGTCATTAGTCTCTCTCCACTCTCGCGAATGGAGGAATAGGCCTACACTCCCCACGCTGGCCAGACGGGTTGGGGAGGCCTAAAAATTCGCATATTGTTTTGTCAGTCACATCTAACGACGTCCATGGGACGAGTTAGGTCGTTGCAGGTTCACTGTCAGTTAACTTTCAAGAACAAAACTTGCCGTCAATGGTTGGGTTATTGGCGGTCAAGCTGTAGATCCTGGCTGCACAGGAGTTGCAGCGGTGTGAACGAGAGATGGGAATCGGCCCGTTCGTTTCAGCCAAATGACGTCCACTGCTGGACAAAGGCTTACCCCAAGGATTTCCACAATGACCGGTCCTGCGCTGTCTGCATCCAATACTTCCTGCTACCTTCACCAGATCGTCAGTCCACCTAGTGGGGCCCTTATTAAATTTAATTTTTGTTTCGCAGTTCTGGTATCCCAACCCTCAAGAGATGAAAGAGAATCAAGTGGATAAAATGCCGGTATATTTGGTCAAGAGCCTACCCGAGCCTTGGTACGCCAGCCTGTCAAACGATTTCAAACCTTACCCCTTCGAAGATGCGGTCGACAACCACATGCAGATCGTGTATGATGCTTAAGTTTTAAATTTTTAAAGGCTGCAATACCATTTCAAAATGTCTCTATGGCCAGCAATATACCTTTAAAAAAAGTTTGGATTGCCCGTCTGGTGTTTAGCCACCATATTATTTTCACAGATTAACTATGAAGTGAAAAATAAAACCTTCATGTAAAAAAGTTGTCAAAACTTTTTTTTTATATAAAAAATGGTCTTTTTGGCCAGTAAATTGCTGAAGATAGAGCATTTTGACCGTCAATTTTTTAAGAATGAGAGTCACCTGAGTATATTTTTACTAAATTATAGCAAAGCTAGCTTTTAAGTACAATATTAGATTAATAATAAATTAATTTATAAGGCTACCGATACCATAATTATGTAAACTAGCCGAGACTGACAACTATCATGGGCATTTTTTGTAATAACTAACTCAAACTGAAAATGTACTTTTGAAATTTTCTTTGGTCATTTTCCAAAAAATCCGCAAGCTGATGTTCCTAAATGTGTCTATTTTTTATTTTGTGTCGATGTTGGCTGGACACGATACAAAATCTCAACAAATTAAGATACGAATTTTAAAAATTAAGTAAAATTTATTAAATATGAAATAAAACTTTGGTATCCATGTGAAACTCTTTTATTTTCACGTTTGAAACATTTATAATAATATCCTTACACTAAAAACTAGAATTAAGGACAAATACAGCTCTTTGGGTGTGCTTAAGTAAAAAAAATCCAGTAAATATTGCATTTGGGCGAGAAATCGAACTATCGAATAATATGCAAGAACGTATATAATAATATACACGAGAGGCTTATGAGTGACTTGAAAAAAAAAATAGTTTTCTAATACAGACAGAGATCATTTAAGTTTTTATAAAAATGCTATAATGTTTTATTAGCCAGTAACAAGGAACTTAAAAACTATGTAAATAATCATCTACCTATACAAGTAACCTATGTCACCCCCTAGACTTAATTAAGATTAAAAACAAAACAACTTCCTTACATTAAACATGAGTTTGAATTTGAATAAATTAATTTTCTGTTAGATTACGTAGAAAGAAACGCAAACGTCAAACGTTGGCGCGCTTTTTGACAGTTGTTTAAAAACTTTTTAAATTTTTACGGCTTGAGGTCCGGTACTTTAATAACGACGAAGGAATAAACTGTCAAACATGTTGAGGTCCAACAAAAATAACAACAAAGAAATACAACCGTACAGCCTTTTAGAGATTATTTAAAAACTTGAGCTAAACGCTACGGCCATCTAGATATTTAGCCAGTGGTGTAATTTTTTAATACAGCGGTATTTATTGGTTGTAGTTGATTTCCTTCTGCTTTCGTCGAGCGATTTCGGCGCTGGCCTCCTGGATCGCTTCCCAGAGTTTGGCTTCGGACAGGATTTGGCGGGAGAGTTCTTCAATGGCGTTTTCGGAGTCCAGGAATGAATTTAGGGCGTCGTCGTCTACAAACTGGGAACAGAAATAATGATAAAATAAAAATTCATAAAATTCATTTATTTTTGCAAATAGGCTTTAAAAAAGCGCTTTTAAATAATATGTTGTTCCTCAATAGATTTATTAATATTGAGAGTTGTCCCTCCTGAAAATCTCAGAGAGCAGTGTCTCTTTGAAGGAGGTAAGTCAAACAATCAGACCTGAAAAAATGTGACTAGCCCCCCGCCTATGCCAGAAGCTAGGTATGATTTTACCAGGCCAGAAGCTGGTTACGCCCGCCCATGACAAAAAGTTTAATTTTGTGACTTACCTGTCGCTGCCTCATCAGCTCTTGGACCGGCATGCCTGGTGCACCCTGGGATCGCTTGCGACCACATCCTGGAATTAGACAAAAATGTATATTAGTTCTGTAAATTTCAACGTATAATTTACGCACTTTTCAACTTTACGTCACTATTTATATTTTTATTATAATAAGCTCTCGTGCGTTATTTTATGTTACGAACCAAATAAATGTTCTTTCTTTCTTTATCATCATGATGTACCATGCTCATGGTGAAAACATCTCTTCCCTAAAGGTAGGCGATATTTAAACATTTGTCTGTCACAGCGTTGCACAAGCAACAATAATCCCCAATACATATAAGTTTCTTTTTCCAAAGTAATTATCTAGGTACAGTCGACGGTAGATCGACCTACCACCCAATGGCACATTTGAACTATGTTCCAAATCTATGGAGAAAGTCGTCATTTAGATTTTCTTAATGATAAGTCATCCTGGGAGTAGGATTATGGTCCTCTCATGCTCGCACTAAAAAGAATTAAAATGAAAAGTAATGTATAAACTCATAATAATTTCTCAAATGTTATAGTGTCATGCTTCTCAATCTGGACTGTTACTTAGCTTTATTATTAGTTTTTTATTTTAAAGAGATAACTTGGAATTGTCATTCTCACTAAAATGTCTCTGGGGTGGTGGCGTAGTGAGGCAGGTCGTTACATTCCCTCTAATATGGTCGAGTGAAGCGATGGCTGGTTCACTCGTCATGTCTGTGAACAGGCGCTGCTTTCGGGGACTGGTCAATCCAAGTTATTCAAATTTATGTATGCGAGTCATTTCTACTAGTATCTTAATATGTAAGTCTAGATATTAGCACGTCACTACCTTGTTTAATATACCACGCAATCTTGTATACCCATTCTTATAAGATACACCATACAAGAATGCATGGTAAATTCAGTGAACTGCTCCTGAATCGAATGTACCTACTACTACTATTTCTATTTATTTATATTAACCGGCAGACAGTGGTGACTGAGTTTGTTGCGGCGCTTCTTCTCAGCACTTGCCAAATGTTGGTCTCGAAGCGCTGGTAGGGCAAAAAGATTATGAGACATGTAGAGGCTGCTTAAGAGCAAAATGACGATTTGTAAGAACTATTTATTAGTCCAAACAAATAAAGAAATTTTGACTTTGACTTTGACCATTTCATGAAAATCGGTAAGCATCCCATTGCTATTGCTATTTATATTGTTATCCAGCGAGGAAATGCAGCCAGCATTCCTTGCCTCGCGCGGACACGCTTTTATTTTTGAGTTATCAATAAGTTTTTTCTTTATTCGTTAAGTTTGCGTTTGTAGTTTAATAAAGACTTCAACGTCCTTACGAAAAGAAATAAAAATAAAAAGAATTCGACCCATAGTTCATTCTTTAAATGTGAAACAGAATACCTTACCTGTGAAAGCATTGCAGAAGGGTCTCTTCTTGGGCGTCATCACCATTTCCTCCGAGAGCCGAGGGTCGAAGGACCTCGGGATCTGAAGACAAGACAAATACCTCATCAATCGTCATCATCATCATCAACAACCCTTTGTAGTCCATTGCTGGACTATGCGCCTCCTACACTTTAGTGGAGGGTTTCGCCATAATCTCCACGCTTGACAGATGGGTTGTAGATTGCAGTTTTAAAGATAACCTCATAAGTTACTGAAATTTTCCCGAACACTAAGATCTGGGTTTCATCAAGGCGAGAGTGTTCAGGCTTTCCCACTCGGTGGACCGACGATCTGGTAACGGTCGCGGGAACCGGGAACCATCTGGATGCGGGCTGCACAGGATCGGTCGTTGTGAAAATCCCTGCCTTTGTCCAGCATTGGACAGCATTCGATTGAATGAAACGACATTTGACTCAAAAACATACTTAAATAAATTACGACAGAAAACGAACAGGCTAACACTAAATTATTTAAACGTGAAACGAAAATGTTTCAATTAGGTATAACCTATTCGCATGGACCATTTTTAATTTTTTCGTAGTAAAGGACTGCAAATTTCTCTTCACAAATGAATGTTGTGCTAAAATAACATACCCTAATTAAATCATTACAAACTTCGTTATGTTGAAAGTTTTTATAATAAAGTGGCCCCCAAGTTTTATTTTAGTTTCTAGACCAACTTTTTTAGATGGAACCTGTTCAAATCTTTTTATCCGACTGCGTCAGAAGGAGGGTTATGTTTTTAGATGGTATTGATTAGTTAATTAAAATTATAATATTATGCCAGCCTGGAAAGAAAGTTACCTGTTGAAAATATTTTTTTTTACCAATTTATACAATGAAAAACATACCGTGGCCGAATAGCAGCAGTCCACCAAAATAACGAACACGGCGAACAGCACGTAAACGCGGGAAACGGGCGCCATGGCGGGAAAACTGACAGCTGCTGAGCAAAGATGGCCGACCTGAAAAAAAATGAAATAATTTTATGAGAACTGACGGCCGAAGGGGCAGCAAGGTTCTGGAGTGGAGGCCGCGTACCGGAAAATGCAGCGTAGGACTACCTACAAGGTGGACCGACGACATCTTAAATGTAGTAGGAAAGCGCTGGATGCAGGCCGCTACCACAACCGGTCAATATGAAAGTCATTGGGGGAGGCCTATGTTCAGCAGTGGACGTCCTACGGCTGAAATGACAAAATTTGTAGAAACCGACAATATTGTACATGATGCGTACTGCGTTCACTTCGACTTGTCCACAGACCGCATTCAGTGTGGCAAATCCTATTTTAAACTATAATTTAATTAATTTATTAAACCAAGTCACAAAGCCCGACGACAATAAAACACTCAATACCAAGATTAATTTCTTATTACGACGCTCATATTTCGGAGCCCCGCTGAGCACAGCGGTCGGCTTTATTATGGGAATATGCCTGAAGAATAAAATAAATATTATTCAGCCTCTGAAATTCAAGAAATGTTCACAAATAACCAGGAGCTTTCATTTTCAGGCTATTTTAAGTTCCGACGAAAGAGGAAGTAGGTTAATTTATATTTTATCAAAAACCCGTACGTGTTTTTAAACTTTCACTTCAGTAAGTAGGTATTTCTTTAAAACATTTTATTTTAGGACTGGAAATTTAGGCTGAGTTGTTCCATCTAACTTTAACCGTAACTATACCTAACCATAACCGGTGTTTTTGTGGGGAGTTTGACAGACTTGACGTTTGTTAAAGTTAAAGTCAGATGGTGCAACCCAGCCTTAATTTGTTGTCAATAGTGTACAATTTAATACACACTTCTTTTTTTTTGGCTGAAACGAAGTGAAGGCACAATTTTAAATGCTTTGATAAAATCCCCTACAAACAATACTCAAAACTCATAAAGTGTAGATTGATTCATTTTATCGGTTTTCGGTTGACTTCATTAAAACATTAATAAATCATTCAATTTAAGCATTGGTATTATGAAAAAAATTGCGATTATAAATATTAATTTTACATTTTCTAGCGTTAAAGAGTCGCATCTCCTCAACCTATATTGACTTAAAAAAAGCGAATTGTCAGGTGGGAATCGAACAAAGGATTTATTTTTCAAGTTATTTAAATAAATAAAAATGGCTTGTAGGAAACAAGCCATTTTCCCCATAATAAGAAGAGTTACTACACCCTAGTTAAACCTTAAACTCTTAAATTGTCATTTAGTATGGAAATGTCGTTTAATCCAGGGTTCTTCCTAGCTGTAACTTTTTATTAATAAGTGGTGTTCAATAAGATACTAATTTATTTTTACCATCTGTAATATTGTGTTTGTTCCGGCGTTTCTTCTCAGCACTTGCCATATTATTGTTTGTCTCGAAGCGCTGGTAGGGCCCAAAAGATAAGGAGACATGTAAAGTGCCCCATAAGGGCTACCTTTTTTTTATATTTACTATATTTGACGTTCATAAGTGCCACTTGTGGTCTAAACTGAATAAATATTTTTGATTTTGATTTTGTAAGGTCACGTGCCAATAAATATATAAAAATCAAGAAACTAAAGTACCTAGACGTTACAAGTCTTCAAATAGCAGCTACCAAATTGGCAGACGGCAAATTAAACTCAAAAGTTAAGCGCTAATATTGTTTAACTAACTTAACTCCGTTGATTGCTATCCACCTGCTAAATAAACTGCCAGTTAAATGCGTTACGAGTTTGTCCTTTCGATCAATTAGTAGAGTTCTGTCCTACAGTTCGGGTAATTGTGTAAATAACTGAGTTTCCAAAGAGTTTTCTGTACAGACATAAAAAAGTCGTGAAAGTATTTTTTTTCTGCTATTCAGGTTTTGTAAAGCGCTTTAAACGTCATAATATTACTTCAATATCATTGCTTTGGGACTATAATGAGGCCAATGCTTGAAGAAGCAGCGCAAGAAACTTGCACCAAGACAGTCCTATCCCGTCTGGCCAGCAGCGTGGGGAGTGTTTTTTTTTTATCCACAACGAGGAAGCTCTTGGCCTGTATCTCACCTGATGGTAAGTGATGATCAGGCCGAAGGTGGAAGCGAACTTCACCCGGAATCCTCAACCACAGAGGAACTGGCTATCTCACCTCTAACTGCCGGAACACAACAATGCTGTTAACATTGTTGTTATGGCGACAGACTTAGGTAAGATGGTGGTAGCGAGCCAGGCGGACTTGGAACAAGCCCTACCACCAACCAAACCAAACAGAAAATTCTGCCCCCACTGGGAATCGAACCCGGGATCTCTGTGTCTGAAGCAGGTGGTCTAACCACTAGACCACAGAGGCGGTGTAGGCCAAATCCTCAATTTGCCTCTGGTAAATTAGAGAGTCGTGATCCTGAATTGGAGACAAAATGACCTGATGATGATGCCCTTAACTTAAAGAGTTTAAACTGCTCTTGCTTGCTGTCAAGCAGTAGACCCTTCGAAACTCCTCCTATGTTCTTCTGATTAATTTCGTTGCGGGTCCAATGACAGTTTAACTTTCCCCCGGGACAAACTTGACCTTCACTGGTTGGATTATTGGCGGTCAAACTGTAGATCCTGGCTACACAGGAGTTGCAGCGGTGAGAGCGAGAGGTGGGAATAGTCCCGTAATTTGTATTTTTTATGAAAACAGCTGTTTGTGAGACTTTCTCCCTAATTGCAAACGCTTCTGTAAGTATAATGATTTTCCATTTTTTTGTAATAATATTATCTCCATTTCCATGCAAATCGGTGATTTTAGATCGATCCGATAAAAACGAATGGGTTTGAGAGCTTTTTTCGGTAATTTGATCAGACCTACTTGATTGAACTTTACGTATGTAAACATAAGAAAGCTTAGTTTTATAATTAACACTGTGGTAATTTAAATAAACAAATACCTATAGGAAACTGGTTGAACGATGTATTCCTGTGGGTTACTTCCTAAAATTGTTACGTTCATATTGCGACACAATTTCTAATTTATAGCCTGTGAAATTAGTTTTCACTAGCTTCAATTTTCCTGGCAGCAAGGTTCTGGAGTGGAGGCCGTACCGGAAAACGCAGCGTAGGACGTCCACCCACAAGGTGAACCGACGACCTCATAAAGGTAGCAGGAAGGCGCTGGATGCAGGAGATGTGAAAATCATTGGGGGAGGCCTATGTACCAGTGGACGTCCTGTGGCTAAAATAATGATGACTTCTAGCCTATTATAAGATCAGTGCCACACCTACTTCTGCAAACACCGCGTTATTACAAGTATTACACCCAAATTGCTATTACATCTACATTATGGCAATTGTTGTATTACAGCCTGTAATAAAATTTATGACAAGGCGAGCCACGCAATACTATCTTATTACGGTAATACTAAATATTATGACAAGTAAACAAGTCGTAAGGGCCCTTCCTTATGGCACTCCAGTTTTGTGGAATCCTGCATTACAGGATATCTGACTATCCCGATTTTGCGGTATTGCAAAAAACGTACCATGCAGGAAGTTAGGTTACTAATGGGGAACACGGTTACTAAACAATTACTTGGAATTAAACAGGATCCTATTTTTACTGGTTCAGTTTAACGAAAAATCCGTTTTTTCCTATAAATCTTCCTACTAATATTATAAATGCGAAAGTTTGTGTGGATATCTGGATGTTTGTTACTCTTTCACGCAAAAACTACTGAACGGATTTTAATGAAACTTTACAGTATTATTGTTTATAACCCAGAATAACATATAGGCTATAAATTATGACGATATGTGACAAACTAAATTTCACGCGGGTGAAGCCGCGGGAAATTCTAAATATAATATAACTCAAATGTGACTGACTGACATAGTGATCTATCAACGCACAGCCCAAACCACTGGACGGATCGGGCTGAAATTTGACATGCAGGTAGATGTTATGACGTAGGCATCCGCTAAGAAAGGATTTTACGAAACTCCACCCCTAAGGGGGTAAAACGGGATAAACGCGTACGAAGTCGCGGGCGGCCGCTAGTACTTTATAATCTAGGTAAGTTTTGGCTGCAGGTTTATCTACGCGAATTGCTATTTGCCAAAGAAAGTCTTCCAGGCTGTGGTAATATCGAAGATAAGCTTTATTTTTAATTGAAAAACCAGAAAAAATAACTAGAAATGTTAGTGAAATACTCATTGTGTATTGTGTTATAATGGACAATAGACGAAGAAGGTGCACTTATTTTTTAACCGACTTCAACAAAAGGAAGTTCTCAAATCGGTTGGTATTTTTTTTTTAACATGGCGTCGTGTGGTTTAACAGTGTAGGAATCGCGCGAAAAAGAAATAATCCACCATTATTAAAAAAAAACTGCCACATGCTTCACTTTTCCGCTTAACACACTTATTTAAAAAGTCTATTTAAAACGAGAGAGAGAGAAATAAAATAATGTTAAATTCGTAGGAGAACCAAAATAACCGACATAGCCCGCAGCATTGCTAAAATCAAGTGGCAGCGGGCAGGGCACTTAGCTCGCAGAGCTGATGGCCGCTGGGGCAGAAACGTTCTCGAGTGGCGACCAGTGGCGGCGTAGCATGGGTTGGCACCCGGGGCGGTCACCCCCCTCCCCCCAGTCATAAGCCCTAAGGCACCCCCTGGTACCCCCCAGGATTTTGCCCATTCAAAGATTAAAAGACAATCCCCCCCCCCCCATCCATGACATAGACCGCAGATTCGCCATGCAGATGCGCCAGTGAGTACTAATCTGCGCGACTTGTGTCACCCCCTGATGCTTGGCACCCGGGGCGGACCGCCCCCACCGCCCCCCCCTTACGCCGCTACTGGTGGCGACCACGGGCCGGAAGACGTAGCGTGGACAGGCCTCCCACTAGGTGAACTGACGATCTGGTAAAGGTCGCGGGAAGCACCTGGATGAGGGCAGGACTGGCCGTTGTGGAAATCTTTGGTCCAGAAAAGGACGAAATTTAGCTGAAAACATTTGAAGTAAGTACATATTTTAAAATGAGAGTTTCTTTTTTACAGAGGCCCTACTGATACCAAACTATTTCATGGCAAATGAGTTGCCTGAAGATATTGCGGTTTGATTTTAAACGAAAGAGAACAAACGCAACAATAATTGTGTTTCAATGTATATTTTCCATTAAAAACTTGATTGCAACGTGAGGTTCGCGATGTAATTGGAAGTAAAAAATATTATTCATTGTACACTATTTATTTTTCTTATTATGCAATCCCAACTAATATTATAAATGCGAAAGTAACTCTGTCTGTCTGTCTGTTACGCTTTCCCGCTTAAACCTCGCAACCGATTTTGATGAAATTTGGCATAGTGATAGTTTGAGTCCCGGGAAAGAACATAGGATAGTTTTTATCCCGGTTTTTGAAACAGGGACGCGCGCGATAAAGTTTTTCTGTCACAGACAAAATTCTACGCGGGCTAAGCCGCGGGCGGAAAGCTAGTCGTATTATATTTCTGTTGGTGAAATTGATTACAAAATAATATGTAGAGATATTCCTACTTCCCTACTAAGTAATCTACAATCTATAAAAGCGAAAGGTCACTGATTGACTGACTCACTCATCACGAAATCTCAGAAACTACAAGTGCTAGGAGTCTCAAATTTTGCATGGGGGTTCCTTTTAGAACGTAGGTGCTCACTAAGACGGGATTTTGCAAAATTCAACTCCTAAGGGGGTAAAACGGGATCCACGCGTACGAAGTCGAGGGCGGCCGCTAGTCTATACAATAAATAGCGAAATACCACTCACTGATTAACCACTAAATCTCAGATACTAAAACGCCTACAAACATGAAATTTGGCAGGTAGGTTCCTTATAGGGTGACAGACATTCGCTAAGAACGGATTTTACGAAATTCCACCCCCGAGGAGGTAAAACGGGATCCACGTGTACGAAGTCGCGGGCGGGCGCTAGTTGTGCTATACACCGTGTTACTTTGCATTCTTGCCATATTCACAGAGATAAAAGTAGGGACCAATTGAATGATCAAACGAACTTACCAAGTGAAGTTCGATCTAAATTATCCTGTTTTCGCCGAAGAGATTTATTTTACCATGTAGTAGTACCCCTGTACGACAACCCAATCCGCACACAATATTCAGCGTAGTAGTATTAAAAAACAAAAGAGCGGGCAACCCCACCCCTACCACGCTGTGGGCTCGGTGTCCGAGCGGTCTCATTATATTTAGAGAAGAGATGACATTGACGTTTACCTCCAGGGAAGAAGATATAGAAATCTTCGGGTTGGGAGGGACCTTAAATCTCTTCGGCGAAAACAGGATAATTTAGATCGAACTTCACTTGGTAAGTTCGTTTGATCATCGTCCAATCCACTGTTCACCAAACGTATTATTCGCGCACTTGACGTCCTTATTGTGGGGGAGCACCATCCTGCTGGTAGTAGAGCATTTGGTGTAACGCTAAGGGTACGTCATCAAGCATTTCGTTTAAGACGTCTTGCAGACACTCCAAGCACCATTTTGATTAAATTATTCGTTGTTTGAATACACTTCAGTCATTTTTGTATTATTTATAACGTGATTTGTGATTGATGGATTTCTCAGTTTTTTACAAAAATGTCAAAAAGACATTTTAAAGACAATAGATTGCAATAGATATTTAAAAATACAATAAAAAGTAAAAAAGTCTCCATCGCCATCGCTAACATAAGTGATGTGCATGCGTTACGATAGTTAGTGATGTGTTTAACAGATTGTCGATAAAATAAAATATTCAAAATTAAAAATCAAAATTTTCGGGCATTATTTTTTAACGGATTTGTGTTCAGTATCAGTAATATAGTTACCTCTGTAAATATGGCAAGAATGCAAAGTAACACCCTGTATACCCCCAAATTCGTCCCAATGGACTTCATTACAGTACAATAGAATGCCTTATCAAAGGCTTGGGAGCGCATGTTTTATTAACGACCGATTATTAGCCTATCTGAGATTTTAACTGCAACACTGGTCTCAGGCATGATTCGGCCATTTTAACTGTGCTAGAGAATTTGAATCCTCTCAAATCAATTTAAATAGTTTATTCAGTACATCCAGGGCGCTACACGTCCCTTTATGCCCTACCACCACTTCGGGACAACATATGGGCTGGTGCTGAGAAGAAGTGGCGAAGAATGAACAATTTGAGAAAAACTTTAAAAAAACGTGGTCGTGTGTGCTCATAGGTTCCTTTAAAAACTGTAACCTAACTAACTAGTTGACTACGGAAAAAAATATTAAAACGTAAGAAATGTTGAGAACACAACCGTAATTCAATTGTAACAAAGATTCGACCTGTTGCGTACTTTTTGGCTACTTTGGGTGTCACAATTATTTGACGCTGATTCAAAATAGACATGACCTTTACGATATCTTAATCTAGCTTAGTGACAACAATTAGTTAGATTTATCAATTAATTTGATTACTAAGCGACGATAGCGCGGTGAAGGTGTCGGACTGGCCGACTCGAGATCCGAGGAACGCGGGTTCGATCCCCGCCGCCGCTTGACTATTGTGGTGAGCCCACTCGTAACACAAGCTTATATGGCTTACCACGAGGGGTTAACGGGATTATTAGTTAGTCATATATTAAAAAAAAAAACTTAAAAATAACACATATCAGAAACTAGTGTGCCCGCGACTTTGTACGCGTGAAAATACATAGTTTGAATAATAATTTTCCCGTTTTTGCAGCATTTTTCTTGACTGATCTGCCCCTATTAGCTGTGTGTTGTTGTTATGTAGCCTAAAGCCTTCCTTGATAAATGGGCTATCCAACATAAAAATATTTTTACAAATCGGACCAGTAGTTTCTGAGATAAGCGCGTTCAAACAAACAAACTCTTCAACTTTTATAATAATAGACAAGTATGAATAACTAGTATTCACAAACATTACTGTGAGGTCTCACAATGCGCGTGGACACACAGGGTGACACACAAACCAATCACAGAGCTCTATTCAACGCTGTGCGTTTGATTTGGCAAGCATCGTTTGTGTATACGGGCGTTATTAACATAAAATGTTATCCCTACTTACAAGTATGGTGACAGGGCATTTTTATGTGGTTTTAATGGAACTCCCATGTTGTGGTGATGCGATACAAGATGCAACACAAAATGTGCATGTAAAAATATAAAATTAGCATGTATAATAAACTAAGTATCAGTACTAGTTTTAGATCGCGGTTTTTCCCGGATTAATTTTGATATGCCATGGGTTTTGCTTACACTTTCACTGGTTTTAATTCTTTTTCTATAGGTAATAAAAAAGCATCTCTTTTGATATAACACTTTTTCAGTGAAATTATTGTCAAAATCAGTCCAGCCGTTTTGGAGATAAGCAAGTGCAGATAGAGAAAATGTTGTAGAAAATACCTACGATTGAAAGCTTTAAGTTGCATAGTAAAAATAATTGTTTTGCATTAATTAAACTTTATTATTTGTACCTAATGAAGAAAGAGAATAATAATTCTGCAAAATCTACACTTTTATAGGGAGTTTTCAGAATTAATTTAAATTATTTTAAGGGACTTTTTTTGTCAAAATTATTCTTCTTCTCCGTCTCAATATTATCATCAAATTAAAATTCTTTACAAGTTACGTAGGCTCATAGCCCACTTCTACACATTCCAAACACAACTAGCCCACTGTAAATCAAAAACTATCCCAACATCAAAAAAATCCCCCAAAATCAAAGTCAAAAGTCAAAACTTCTTCATTTGAGTTGACTATTAAATACTGCTTACAAATCGTCAAATACTAAAAAAATCTCTCTCATGGAGCCTTTACACGTCTAATCTCCACACAGTAACAAATATCCACTTACCTGGACTTCTTCCGGGAAGAATGGACACTGTACCTGGACTCCAAAGACTGAATGCAGGCGTCGGGAACGCGCCTGTTATATAGGGAACCGTGGGCAGGGAACAGGGAACGAATGGAGTCGGTAAAACCCACGCGGTTGTTAAATATTTTGAGAAAATAATGGAAGGCAGCGTGAAGGGAAAAAATAATGTTAGCCAGGTAAAACTATTCGTATTTTTAATTTTGAAAATGTGGACCATGGTCTGAAAAAGTTAGTAAAAGTTTAGTGTAGGATTTTGTGTAGGTTTTTTTTTTCAGTTAAACGATTACGTGAATATTTTATTATAAAGAAGTAAAGTTTATGTGTTTGTATATTTGATAAATTGTAAGGGGTAATCTCGGGATCTACTGAACCGATTTTAAAATTCTTTCACCAACAGAAAGCCACATTATTGCTGAGTGTCTTAAGTTATATAAAAAACCGAAAAATTCCACGCGGGCGGAAAGCTAGTATCTAATAAATATAATAGAAGTATCTTTCTACACATTTCAAGTACATACAATTAAATGCTGTTGAAACATTGTTAAAATATATAAAGGGAAAAAGAAAGACAACGTAGTATTTATTCTTATCTATGAAGAGACAAAAGTCACCGGAGCGCGCGCGCCTTTACGTAATGCGACTACGAAGCTAGTGCACTACGACGCCTAGGCTACTACGAATCGTAGTCTGCTACGATGCGTAGTCAGCTACGATGCGTAGTCGACTACGAGCCTACTAGTTTAATACTACGAAGCGTATGTAGTCTGCTACGACTCGTAGTCTACTACGACGCGTAGCTTCTACTACGACAACGTGTAGGCGACTACGACACAACTACGACGCGTAGTCGGCTATGTGGCGTAGGCAACTACGGCGCGTAGCTGACTACGGCGCATAAATTCTACAACGACGCGTAGCTTCTACTACGAAACGTAGGCTACTACTCCGCGTAGCCTACTACGACGTGAAGTCAACTACGACGCTTACCCTACTACGAGTTACCCTTTTGTACCCTTCGCACCACCGGCCTGCACCACTGGTGGTCTAAAGGGTATTTTTTAATCCCTTTTGCACCACCAATAGTGCCGCCCTACCATTAACTGTAAAACGATAATCTATAATCATATTATTTTAATATTATAAAGAGGAAAGATTTGATTGTTTGTTTGTACTGAATAGGCTCCGAAACTACTGGACAGATTTGACAACATAACATAAAAATTAATAACAACCATTCATACCTACATACAACGAATAATTCCTAAAGTACCAGGGCAACATAATCATAAAGGAGCTATATCAAATTCTTCTTGGTTGATCCGAGAAATAAACATGTATCATAAATTAGCTCCTTTATGGTTATGTTGCCCTGGTACTTTATTCGTTGTATGTAGGATGTAGGCCCGGGGTATCGTGGGTCTGAAGTGAAATGTTTATAGGGGGTGCGCCAAAGTTCACCTAAATTTTCAACTCCGAAAATTGGAAGTTTTTTTTTTTTTTTTTTTTTTTTTCCAGTCATTCAGTCAAGTTCCAGAAACGAATCGGTCTATTCATTATTATTGGTTTAGGTTAGGTTAGAACTGTGGCCTTACGTTTTATTCGCGAAGAACGTACTTCTGTACGTAGTATTTATTATGATGATTCTATGGTATGAGTGAAAATATTATGGTAATGTTTAGGGATAAAAGTGTTATGATAAAAAACAGTAGGAGTTTAAATATATTTACATAAATGATATTATTAATTAAAATTTTCGGAAACATGAGTGTTATGAACATCGCAGGTAGCACTACAAATAGTATGAATGAAAACTTTAGGATGATAAATTTTAGGAAGAGTGATCATTCGGATTTAAAATCGTTAGGAAGAACAATTTCGGGTAAATAACTTTAGGTGAGCCAATATGGACCCGTTTATAGGCACTTACACACACACAAATTAAAGCTTTTAGGTAGGTTTTGATTTGTTTATAACATTTAAATTATTAAGTATTTTACAGTCTACTACTAGTTTTACAGTCGATGGCAGCACAGCACTATTTGTTGGTGGTGCAAGAGGGATTTAAAAATACCGTTTGCACCACCTGTGGTGCAGGCCGGTGGTGCAAAGGGTACAAAAGGCGAGTTACAACGTGAAGTCAACGAGATCCTACTACGACACGTAGCTCCTACTACGACGCGCAGCTCCTACTACGACGTGTAGGCTTAATATGACGAGACGCCAAGTTTGTCTGTCGTTCACCAAGAACAACGGGTTAACGCGAAAGATTCCACCGTATAAAAATATAAACAGATAAATATGTAAGATAAAAATAGGCAGTTAAATTAGAATTAAATTAATTAAAGAAAGTCACAATGTAACAGGACAGGCAATGCCTAGTGTGGAGGTCAGTCTTTTTTGTATGGTATTAGAGAATCTAGCAATAGATATTTTATTTCTTTTTAATATGTCTTTCAAGTAAATATCATTTTTGTGAATCTAGCAATAAATATTTTATTTCTTTCTATTATGTTTTTAAACCTATCTTCTTCTTTATAAATAAAAATGGATTGCTGTTCGTTAGTCTGATTAAAACTCGAGAACGGCTGGGCCGATTGAGCTGATCTTGGTGTTAAAATTTTGTCGTAGTCCAGGGTAGGTCTAAACGGTGAGCAAATAAGGAAAGATTTGCTTATTTATTGCTTTTAAGGCGGAACAGAGTTCGCCGGGTCAGCTAGTCTTTGAATAAATAAAATTATACTTTGTGAAACTCTAGCGACTCCACGCCGCTTCTGTCCCGGGACCACCCGCGGCGACCTCTCACGGCGTCCGCCAGAAAAGCCCACATTACCCGGGACAATCGAGTGCATAGACTATTAACCACGGCAAATGTTGTGCGCCACTTTAGCCATCGTTTACTCCATACTTAATCGTTGAATTATGGAATAACTATTAGGAAGGTTAGCATTAAAGACTTTTAGAAAAATAAGAAGAAATTAAATATGCAATGTTAGGCATATCATTGCTGGATTAAGAAAAAAATTATCACTAGGATAAAACAAATTACGCAACGGATTTTGATGCATTTTATTATAATAGACTAGCTTTTGCCCGAGGCTTCACCCGCGTGAAATTTTGTTTGTCATAGATCGTCATAAATTAAAGCCTATATGTTATTCTTATTATAAACAATAATACTGTAAAGTTTCATCAAAATCCGTTCAGTAGTTTTTGCGTGAAAGAGTAACAAACATCCAGACATCTAGACATCCAGACATCCACACAAACTTTCGCATTTATAATATTAGTAGGATAGAGTCATTCAAGAGGGAGGTTTATGTTTACTTACCATCCGTGCGAAGCCGGGGCAGGTCGCTAGTATTTAAATAAACTATCTTATGGAATTGAAAAAATATATAGGCAGATCGAAATTCCGTACTAATTTGTAATTTTTGTAATTTAAAATGGGATAAAATCTTCTCCTTAATATTTAACTAATGTCTTAATCGAAAAATGTAACTCGATTTCTTTATTTCTGTTTACCTAACCTAATTTTGAATTAGTACATAATACAAATAATCAATAATGCTCACAAGGACAACTTCCCTTCAAGCGCTTCAAGACAATTTTGGCAAGGTGTTGAGAAGAAGCGCTGCAGATAAATAACGCCCGTATTCACAAACATTACTATGAGGTCTCACAGTGCGCGTAGACGCACAGGGTGACACACGAACCAATCACAGAGCTCTATTCAACGCTGTGCGTTCGATTTGCTGCTTCACTTAAGCAAGCATCATTTATGAATACGGGCGTTATTCCCATTGTAACGTCGAACGTCACTAAATGCTGACGAAACAAAAAAATAATGAGACATCTTCAACATTTCAGGGAAAAATTATTAGGCAGGTTGGAACACGTTATTATTTTAACGCAATTATGAAAACGAACCCCTCATTTTGTATCTTTGCTATTTTTATTCCTTGGAATTCAAATTATATCATCCTACATCGCCACTTCTTTTCAGCACCAGCCCATGTTGTTCCGAAGTGGTGGTAGGGCAAGCTTTATGTATTTGGGACGTGTATAAGTGCCCTGAAAAGGGCCTATGTACTGAATAAACTAGGTATTTGAATTTTAACACAAGAAATTGCCCGCAGAATTGATAAACTCTAGTGTAGTGGGCAGTGGGCAAGGCATATAGCTCGTAGAGCTGATGGCAGCTGGAACAGAAAAGTTCTCGAGTGGCGACCACGAGCAGGAAGACTTAGTGTGAGCAGGCCAAATGACGTCCACTGTTGGACACGCGACTATTCCCACCTTTCGTTCCCACCGCTGCAACTCCTGTGTAGCCAGGATCTAAAGCTTGACCGCCAATAAAAACCAACCAGTGAAGGTCAAGTTTGTCCACAGCTGGACAAAGGCCTAAAGGATTTCTACAACGACCGGTCCTACGCTACCCGCATCCAGGCGCTTCCCACGACCTTCATCAGATCGTCAGTCCACCGAGTGGAAGGCCTGCTTACTAAATCTTCCGGTCATTTACTAGAGTTTTATTATGTGTTCACTGTATACTTGACTGATTTATTTCATCAAAAGACAACATCTTTTTACATAATTTCAGCGCGAAATTTTGACTCCATGCTCAATTTTCCATTTCATTTCATGACAAAATGGTGTTTTGACGAATCACATACATAATATTGAAATATTGATAACAGTTTATCATGGTCATTTACTTATTCACCCTGAATGTTGTTAGACTAGCTGTGCCCGCGACTTCGTACGTGTGAAAATAGTTTGAATAATATTGCCCGTTATTGCGACATTTTTCTTTAGGTACTGCTCCGCCCCTATTGGCCGTAGGGTGATGTTAAATAGCCTAAAGCCTTCCTCGATAACTAGGCTATCCAACACAAAAATATTTTTTCAAAACGAGCCAGTAGTTCCTGAGATTAGCGCGTTGAAGCAGACAAACTCCTCAGCTTTATAATATTAAGTAGAGAAGTAGAGATACTTAGTATAGATTTTTTAAT